CACACCTCCCATCGAACTACTATCCCAACCCTTCGAAGTCCTAGCATCGATCTTGCTGGATCATCTCCTAAACATACCCCACACTGACCTCACTCCCTACCAGCAAGGCGTCCTTACTGCCCTTCTTGCTAATCCGGACACCAAGGGTACCTGCCGTGAAAGTCCCCGTGGTCGCAAACGTTCACATGAGGATCCCGATGATCCGGAACCTCATGAGGGGGAGAACAAGAGGCCACGGATACTCGAGCAAGGTGCCTCTACCACTCATAGCCCCCAAACCGAACAACCTGAGACTATCATCAACCAACCACCACCATCCCCTTGCCAAAACCAAGCCTATCTCTCTAGCGTGGTCGAGCTAGACAAAACATCCCGAGGCATATCTCCCAGAGATACTGTTCGAGGAGGGGATGGAAGTCCTGATGATGCTACCACTGGTACATCCTTCACATCAGGCCATCAGTTGGAACCTAGTTCTAAGCTGATGCCAACGGGCAATCCAAGTGAACCCGGCAGAGTTACCAAGGAACAATCACCGCCTCAAAAGCAGCAAAGAGTTCCATACATCCCCCCAGGCAAAGACATCCATGATGCACTGGAGGAGGCGGTGATATACGACAAATGGCCGAGAAAATGGACAGAATGGGATGATCTCCGGGTTGAAGCCGAGCAAGAAGACATGCAAAGAAACTGGTGGCTACGAGAGCTGATTAACAAATGCTCTGAAGATATTATACGGCTCGAGGACGATGAACGCAAGGAAGGGGAGAACTACAAGGAATCCCAGAAAACTCTTGAATCAGTCGTAAGACAATCAGCGGGAAGACTTCCCAAGACAGAGAAACCCTGGGACAACGTTCGAATCAAAGCCCCCTTCCAAGAAGAAATCAGAGAGCATATCTGGCGTAGACCAGACAAAGTCAAGCCACTGAACGAACTGAAGCTAAGAGGCCTTACTCATTTGAAAGGAAAGCAGGCTGGAGGTCATCTGCATATGTTGCTGCAAAGGTCAACCGGTACACAGAGAGAACTGATGGAACAAGATCTGAAGTCGAATATTCTCCCGATCCATCAAATTCTACAAGTGAAGGCTGAAGACTATCATGGAGTAACATTCTACACCTTCAGACTTCAACGCACCGATGGAAGCGAATTCACTTGTCAAGAGAACGACTTCATCATGCTCAAACCGGATGACATCTATCAAATGCTCATGGCCTACAGATACCTTCCAGTCAGGCAGAACATAGTTTACAGCGAAGGCCTCGCAGCTATCAAGAGATTCATGCTTAGACAGATCAGAGTACACTCTTCACATGACCTACAGATGGCTATTGAATGCAATCTGAAGAAGACAAATCTGACAAAGCCAAAATTGTATGGTCTGGAACTTGAAGATTTCCCAGCCTACCACATCTTCTTCAAACCGCCAGCAGTCACCTATCTGAACCACAAGAACGAAAAGCGTCTGATGGTAGTCAGTGAAATCGAGAAGTACTGTGACGGAACACTGAAGATAATCAGAGAGCAGATTCTACAGATGAAGGCAAAGCTGGAAGAAAATCTTCAAAAGGCATCGTCTTATGTTCAAAAGGAACACTCTACTGTAGAGACAATTTTAAAGGCCATTGACGATCGCCTCGAAAAGAGAAATATGCTAAGACAGTATGAACATGCACTTGGATTGAGAAAGCACTACTTCAAATCACAGAAGCAATAAGAGAATGGCACTTGATCACAAAGGGGGAGATTGTTGGAGATATTTAATTGTGAATCAAGTTGGTCATAGATTAGCTTTATATTTAATCCTTGTATTTAAATAGTGCATAAATTAGATAGAAATCAGGCCAAGTGTTAGGCCCATTTAAACAGGCCAAAAGCCTGGAACGCCTAACCTAAACATCGCCTATAAAAAGGGAGCCGAGGTTTAGGAAAAGGCTGAACGTCGTACTTATTATTCATAGCCTTACGCTTATATCATTCTGCTGTACGTTCCACGGTTTATCAAAGAAGGTTTTACGGTGATTCATTCTGTGTTCATCTTTACGTTTAATCTTCCTTGTTAGATCGATTATTCATTGCTGTTACAGAAACAGGGACTAATAATTACATTTATCGATGATTTTTCAAGATTTGTCTGGGTTGATTTTATGAAAGAAAATTCTGAAGCCTTAAACAAGTTCAAGGTATTTAAACAAAAGATTGAGGCAGGAGTAGGTCAGAATATCAGGCGCATACGCATAAATAACGGGGGAGAGTACACTTCTGAAGAATTTAACAAATTTCAAAAAGAATGTAAAATAAGAAGACAATTATCATGCCCAAGTACATCTCAAAAAAACGGAGTTGCAGAGAGAAATAATAGACACTTGGTGGAGACGGTAAGAAGTACGCTACACTCGAAGAATGTACCACCACGTTTTTGGGTCAAGTGTATGAAAACAACAACTCATGTGATCAACTGGTTGCCGCAAGCAAAGCTTGTATTCATTACACCATTCAAAAATTACAAAATCTCAAACCCATAGTAAGTCACTTCAGGGTGTTTGGTTGTGTACGCTACGTATCTATTCATGATCACCTACGTAGCAAGTTTGATAAGAAGGCAATTCGTTGCATATTCGTGGGCTATGATGATCAAAAGAAAGGATGGAAGTGTTGTGATCCCACAATTGGAAAATGCTACACTTCAAGAAATGTGGTATTTGATGAAGCATCCTCGTAGTGGTCATCTCAAGAAATTGTTCTTCCAGAGTCACAAGAAATTGAAGAAGTATTAAAAGAACGAGAAGAAGAAAAAGGTGACACAAATGTGGAAGTATCAAATGAAGAACCACCTGAGATTTATAAAGGTCCATGGAAAATAGGAAGTCATGATAAGATTACTGAAGAAGCAAGGCCAAGTCAGTTTGAGGAATTTCAAGAGCCAAATGAGTCTCTCCGAAGGTCGACAAGAAGAAGGAGGTCAAACCCAAAATATGCAAATGAGGCACTAATGGAAGATAATGGGCCAAAAGAACCAGCTACTTTCAAAGACGCTTCACAAAGTCCCGAATGGAAAGAGGCAATGGAAGAGGAGATCAAGACTCTTAGAGAGAATGAGACTTGAGAATTAGTTCCTAAACCCAAAGAGGTACGTCCAATAACTTGTAAATGGGTTTATAAGTTGAAAACTAGGCCAGATAGATCAATTGAAAGATATAAAGCATGCTTAGTCGCTCGAGGTTTCTCTCAAAAGTATGGCCTTGATTATGATGAGATGTTCAGCCACATAGCGAAGATCACTACTGTATGAGTCCTACTAGCACTAGCAGCAAGTCAATCTTGGAAGTTGTGGCAAATGGACGTCAAGAATGCTTTCTTACATGGAGAGCTATATCAAAGCATCTACATGGAGAAAATCGAAGGGTTTATAAGCAAATCACATCCAGAGTTTGTGTGCAAACTCAAGAAAGCATTATACGGATTGAAACATGCACTATGAGCGTGGTATAGGAAGATAGCTGAATTCTTGGTACAAAGTGGTTACTCAATTTCTCCTTCCGATTCAAGCCTGTTTGTGAAGTATACCGGTGGGAAAATATTGGTCATATTGATATATGTGGATGATGTAATCATCATTGGAAATCAGAAGGAGTTCAATGAAATACGAGGTAATTTATCATTGAGGTTCCAAATGAAAGAACTTGGAGAACTACAACACTTCTTGGGCCTCGAGGGAGAATGAACTAAAGAAGGAGTATTCTTGTGCCAAGACAAGTATGCAAAAGACAAACTTGAAAAGTTTGGGATGCTTGATTGCAAACCGATATCAACTCCTATAGAGACAAGTATGGGCCTCGACGCATCATGAGGTACGTTAAAGGTACTTTGGATTTCGGAATATTTTATAACAGAGATGCATCATTTGAAGTGGTAGACCATTGTGATGCTGATTACGCTGGAGATCAAGATACACGTCGCTCTACCACTGGTTACACATTTAGTCTTGGAACGGGCACCATGTCATGGTGTAGCAAGAGACAACCAACGATGTCATTATCAACTACATAAGCAGAATATAGAGCACCAACAATGGCAGCTCAAGAAAGTGCATGATTGATGCAAGTTCTAAAGGATCTTCATCAACCAACTGCGATCCAATAACATTACATTGTGATAACCAATCAGCAATATGACTTGCAGAGAACCCAATCTTTCATGCAAGGACAAAACATGTGGAGGTTCATTATCACATAATACGAGAAAAAGTCCTTAAAAGAGATTGAGATGAAATACATCAGGTCAGAAAATCAAATTGTTGATTTATTCACCAAAGGACTAAACACTACGCAGTTCGAGAGCTTAAGGGATCAACTTGGCATGGTTGCAAGATCTACAATAAGATAGAGCAGTCGTTGAGGGGGAGTGTTGAAAAGTCAACGACTCTCTAAAGTCTTCTATAATCTTCTTTATTAAATACTCTAGGATGTGTAGAATTCTCTAGATAGAGTATTAAATAAGAGTTAGAAAGAAATACTCTAGAATGTAATTAATGTGAGAGTACTCTATGATGAAATTAATGTGGGAGGTTCTAACAACACTCTCACCTCCTAATACTAGTATAAATAGAGGTGGATGGACATAACTTGATAACCACCAAGAGAGTGAAACATCCTTAAGAGTGACTCTAAGAGAGACTCTCATCTTTGTACTCAATATTTTATATTAATAAAATTGTCTTTATTCCTCCAAGTCTCAACATACCCAACTCATGAATAACCGATTAATGTCGAGTGACCGTAAACACCAGAATATACAATATAGCGTGCAAATAAACATGACGCCAATAATAATAGATCTGTAGGTAATTAATGGTTGCACCATGCACGCATCGTATTATATGTGCGGAGGCGTGGTCAGCGGCGGGCGCAAAAATTTTCGATTAACGGGGCGGTAGTGTAAAAAATACATATAAATACATATATATTAAGAACCCATTTGGTAATACGAAAATCGGCTGATTCTGCTGAAATTTATGAAGTTCTGGCTGAAGTAGCTGCATCGGCTAAAATGGTCATTTACAATAACTTCAACCAACACAGTTAGAGAAGTAACCCCAACCATATTTTTTCTTATTATTACATAATTCAGCACGCGAAAACAAAAGTTACGTGTTTGGTGAAAAAGTTGAACATGTTGTGTATAATAGTTTTGGACGGAGTATGAGTGTCTGAAAGTAAAACAGTATGTAATAAACGAGAGTAATATATAAAGTGGTAAAAAAGTCAAATGCTTTATAAGCTCTCCCACTGAAGGTCCAATGTAAATTCTTTAGCAACGCTGGCTACCATAAAAATCCAAGTGCACAAGTGATTGTGGTCATAATTATCCATCCAATGCTGTCACAAACAACCATATGAAATTACTTGAGTACTAAATAATTACTAATTCCATCCCACTCAACTTTGCTAAGTTGGTTTTGGATGTCAAATTAGAATAGTAAAAAAGAAAAAGTGTTACAAATTCATTGTTCTAAAGAAAAAGTGAAAATTGATTTTGGAACAAAAAAAAAAAAATTGACAAAATCTTGTGAAACGGAGGAAGTATATAAATAAAGAAATTGTTCGAAATATGACTATATATAACTTAGACATAGTGTATATAAGAGTAACTATATTTTATTCTCATAATATGACTTATTTGATCCCATTGTAAGTATAAAATTTCTCCAATGAGGAGTAAATGAGTCATATTTTAAAAATAAAATAATGACATTCATATATATATTTGTGCACTTTGGGTATATTTTAGTTTGAATGTTATCTAATAATTACTGACCATCACCACGTATGATTTAAAACCACATTTTTGCGAGGAGGGGATATTATACGTAGTATTTTTTAACAAACCTGATAGGAGTTGTGATAGGTGACAAGGAGATGGTTGGTGGAGAAAATTGTGAGACATCCAATTGGGGATTGTTTGAGACATTACTGCGAAGGAAAGTCATAATAATTATTATGAGTGAGAATTACACGTACTCTTATTTTATTTGGTAGTCTCGAAGGTAGTTCTATTTTGTTCTTATTTTATTCATATTGTATCGATTTATTATTAATTAAATAATTTTACTTCACTTAAAAAACTTATGAACAGGGAACATGAATAATGAACCCGAATTTGATTTTATTCACTCCATGTTATTTTACCATCTATTCATTGGGAAAATAGACCAAAAAAACTATTTGTATACATTTTTGTGTACACACCATCTTACACATGTTCTGTCCGTGAATTGTCTATTCATAGACAAAAAATAGTTTCTCACAGCCATGTGTAAGAAGATGTTTACAAAAAAGTAGTGGGTACACGAAGAATTTTTTGAAAGCGGACAGCGATTGAATTTCATTCACATTTCAATTTTCTAGCCATTCATGTTACACTTAAATGTGTAGTTTTTTGTTATAATTATTTCAAAAAGAAATTTATAAACGCATAATTAAGATTTTTTGCATCACATAGTAAAACGTATTGACATGATGAATATATTAACTTTTGGTGAAATTGGGCAATTAATGGTTTGGTAGGTTAATAGCTCTTGTATATAAAAACTTATACTTACAGCAACATAGTTTCCGATTTTAAAATGAGGTTCTGAGGAACTTTACCACTCAAGAGATTGTCTTGGAGCTTCCTTCAAATTTCAACCAAGAACGAGAAGATTAGATTCCACAAAATAATACTAGTAATACTTCTTCCCAGAGAATTACATTAGTTTTTCTTTTACACCAATTAGTATATCACCAGTGCAATGCACGGTGTAGAATATTTTTCAAAATAATTATTAATGATTTTTGTAACAAAATGAAATAAAGTGATAAAAATAAATTGTAATTTCTACTATTTTTTTAAATTAGTAATTTTATTTATTAATAAAAACGAAGTGATAAAAAATTGTTTGTAAAACCTATATTTCTTAACACGGAAATTATCTATTTTAGCAACGTGAGAAAGGAATGTAAATTCAGTTTTATTTATTTTAATTATTACAAGATTTAGGGTGTGAGATAACCATTTTTGCACTTCCTCTATTCCAAATAATTTGTCCAACTTTCCTTTTAGGCATTTCTTTTTATTTTTCTTTTCAGCCCTCTCGATTCTCCTCTTATTCTCCAACTGTGTTTTCTTCATTTGTTTTTCCGTTTTCTTTTACTTAGAAGAATTCAAGAACCTTGGCTATGGCTGCTATAGAATAGAACAAGATTAGGGTATAAGAGAAGGGAATTCAAAGTAAAACAGATAAACGAAAAGAAAAAACTTAAGAGAAAACTAGGGAAAGGGGGGAAATGAATTTCGATCCATGGCATAACCTTCGATAATTCCCCACTACGTGTTTTATTTTCTCTCATTTTTAAACTGTTTTTTACCTGCTTAGTAAGTAACAAGTCACTTAGGATCAACATGAGAAGACTACATATGAGTTGGTATTGTTTTAGAATTAAACTATTTGAGATTAATATACTAAGATCGTCAATAATTGAGATTATTAATGTGAATTTTTTCTTAATTATTTAATTATTGATAGTTTTACGACAAAAAATAAATAACATTGATTGATCATATGAGCTATTGTTATTGTCAATATATTACTACCTTTGTCCTTTACATTTTTTTCATCTTTGATTTTTCAAGTCAATGGTAGTAGAGTTTGGACCATGATTTAGATTATTATAATATTATTGAATCTTTAAATTTTATATTATTATCAAAGTACTATTAACAACCATAAAAAAGTACTATTAACAAAAAATATTTCATATTATTTTTATATTATAAAAAGTTTCTATAAAAATCTATAAATGGTCAAAGTGAACATGATCAACTAAACAATTTAAATTAAAGAGACAAAGTTTTATGAGACACTTGAACGAAGGAAAACAATCAATCAATATATATATATATATATATATATATATATATATATATATATATATATATATATATATATATATATATATATATATATATATATATATATATATATATAAGAACTTTTTAAGAGCATACAAAACGCCACATAATAATGCCAAGTCATTATATATAACAATTATTTACTTATTTTTATACCTTTTGTTTTTATTAGATTCTATTTTTGATTGCATATTGATATGGAAACAAAGATCCTTACAAATCCACCTTAATTAACTTGGTAAGCTTCAAATAAGTAAAATAATTTTTGGTTATCAAAGTGAAATTCTAATAACGTTTATTGATATGGAAACTAATTTATATTAGTTTACTACACTGAATTAAATAGAAACAAATATGCAAATTAGTTTACTTATTAATTTGACACCTATTAATAAATTAGTAAGCTTCAAATAAGTAAATAATTAAAAATTATAACCAACATAAAGTATATATATTTTCACAAGTAAATATGCTTAGCTTAGCCAAATAAGTAAATATTTTTTGTTGTTTCTTTATTTTACACCTAAAATTCAAATATGCCTTCACTTTTGAAATAGATTCCTAATCCAAATTAGAAAATCTTTATAGGTTTACGAATTCCTACTTTTATTTTAATAGAACGTTTTTAATTGGATTGATTTCAGTTCCCGATTAAATCAGATCAGATCAAACTTTAGTAATTATAACAATAAGTCACATAAAAACAGACATCTAATAGACCATATTAATTCATACCAAATCAAACCCGGAATTTTAATTCAATTAAAAACGTTCTTATTAATGAGTAAACTGTAAGATCTAACAATTAAGAAATATAGAATTTTTTATTATTGGGTTCATAACAATTATGTTTACTTGAGATGCTTATGTAGAAGACCAATTTAATTTTTTTTTCATATATTTTTTTCTTTGTTTCACAAATGGAATATATTTCACATATATTTTTCATGATTCAGAAGATTCCACCTATTTAACCAGAATTCAATCAATTTCATCAAAATAAGTTGATTCTATTTACTTTAGTATTATCAAACAGGCTATATATTAGACTAAGTTTATTTTTCTTTTAAATCAGATTATATGTGATCCGAGAGAAATTAAATTTTAAATTAGCTAAATTACATACTGCCCGTGCATCGCACGGGCTTGAAAGCTAGTTTATATAATTAAGAAAAACATATTACTCTTACTATTTTCACTTCTATTTTGGGGAACTTTTCATTGGTAAAGCAATTCTATCTTGAGTCATAAGGTGTTACTCGAACACTTTTTAGAAATTAACACAAATTTCTAAATTTTCATAAGATTATGAATGAATGAATGAATAAGTTTTTGAATTGGATCACAAGTTCTAATTTGTATAAGAAGCCTATAGTTCATGTACTACACTTTGTTGATTATGCGGCCATTTGTATCTCATTTTTTATTTACGTAGTTATAAACTTATAATTTCACTATAACACTACGTACATTTTATGTAATACAATTACTTTATTAATGGAATCACCCAAAAATCATTTTAGCCGTACAACGTAACACACGTGTATGATACTAGTCAACTACAACAAAAATCGTGTGTTATTATATACTACCTCATTCCCTTAAAACTTTGCAAAGTTTGACCGGCACGGGGATTAATAAAGTAAAAACTGTGTGGTTGAGGTTTGTGCAGAGGAGAGAGAATTAACTGAAACCACAAATTCTTTACTTAAAAGGGAAAGTGACAAAGTTAGTGGGACATACAAAAAAGGAAACTTGGCAAAGTTTTAAGGGACGAGGGAGTATAACACATAAAAGTCAGACTATCAACCAAAACAAAAGGTTGTAACAAGAGGTTATTAACACATACCACTATAACAAAAAGTATTATTTGTGTCCATGGTTCTTAATTAATAGAAGACAATTAATGTAAAATAGAAATGCGCAAGGACATGTATTTCATACAAGACATTTAGTGATGGGAGACTGCCAAAATATTCAGGGATTTGTCCACTTAATTTGTTGCCATGGAGGTCCCTGAAAAGCAAAATCATGAAAGCCAGGGGCAGAAAAGGATGACAATAATGCTGGGGTCCAATATTAATTTTCATGCATATCTATATAATACTACATATATAACTAATTCTTTTTACTTGGAGAGTTGGAGGCATGCCCCGGAAGAAAAGGCATGCCGCTGAAGAAAGAAACCTTATGAATTATGAGAGAATTCCTTAAAAGTAAAAAAGTTTAGAAATTCCAAAATAGGACTATCATATTTTTTATTTCCTAAATAGTAGTAAATTTTTACCAAGTTTGGCATTACTAGGCTTTAAACATGACATTTCTTCCAAACTTGGCAGATTACTCCTATTTAGGAGATATAAAACATAATACTTCTATTTTGGAATTTCAAAACTTTTTTGCTCCTATTTAGGACAATGTCTAATTATCATACACTAAGTAATCTAAAAAGTAAAGAGCTATAGAGTTTGTGAAATGCAACCAATTCTAATAGCCATTGTGAAATATGATAACCACACTCTACAATAAAATTTATATTGTTGCATGAAAACGCTTATATAAGTAATATAGTGAATCCTGAAATACTGAAACTGATAATAGAAAGTATCGTATCTATCATATGCATGTGATCTTTCCAAGTCATTGTTTTCACCATTTGTTTATGTTTAAATTATTCAATTGCAATATTGTAAAAGATTCATTTGGATAAGATATGATACTCTTAGGGTACCATAGAACTTTTCTAAAAAACATGCATTGTCTATCAGTGTCTCATTACCAAAGGATTCAGGTTTCAATGCGCACAGTGTATATAATTAATAGAGATTACTCAAAATAAGAGTAAAACATATATAAAGTTATAAAATAGGACTAAGCATGTTTTCTTTCCTTAATAAGACTTATTTAATTCCATAAATAAGAGAGTTTAATCCTATTTTGGAAAGAAAATAATATTACTCCTATATATTCAGGAAAATTCAAAACTTGCCATGATTTACTAGAGTTTTCTCAATAATTAAATCAACTACAATAATAAAACGGTAACTCGTACACTTGTATCAAATTTGTGAAGTTGCCAAACGTTAGGGGGATGGAACCACTGATACCACACTCGTAAATAGACCTGATCAATAATATTAAAACGGTTATCATTTGTCAAACCAAAACTTTAGTTCATTCAAAATTTACGAGATAGCTGGAAATACAAACATACGTTGTGGCGTAATCATAAATAGCTGCAAGTAAAACGTATAACCTTTAACAACAAAAGTGCATCGTATGGTAATAGAAGTTCGTTTCATTTATATATACTCTGTACAATTTACTAGTATCTTTACACGTAACATGCACGAGTTAAAATGATTTTGCTTGATTTTATTAACGAAAAATCACTTATTTAATTGATTATAACATTGCTTTATAATGCATATTCTAATTTATTAATTATGTCTTATTTTTGAACTAATTATTATCTAAACATGTTCGCAGTCTCTATTTTCTAATGAAAAGAACATTTTTACAACTCTCAATTGCATACAAATGTAATTAATCTTTTCAACCATGTTTACCTAAACAAAAAAAAAAACAAAATCCTCAATACCTATTTCTTTCCATTAAAATTCATCACTGGCTTAGTGTTTTTTTTTCAAAACTAAATACACGTTTTTTGCAATTCATTTATTTAAAAATAGGTGTTGTCAATTTTTTTGTGAAGATAATAGACCTTTTAGGTTTTTGAACAAAGTAGTGTGTGACGTTCCTATTTTAAAATTCATCGGTGGCTTAGTGTTTTTCAAAACTAACTACACGTTTTTTGGAGTCAATTTTAGATTTTCACAAATTAGTCCTTTGATCTCTTTCTTGAAGAACAATATAGAATAAATAGTGTGTGACATTCCTATTTTAATGAAGGTGATGACGGTGACAACAGACTACATATTATGATCGGTAGCGATCAATTTATTTTTCATTAGTTTGAGTTATTGAGGGTAATATGATCTTATGAAGTAAAATAAGGGTTACTTGACCTATTGTGTGATTCATATGATAATTTATGAAAATTTGAGTTTTCAAGTAGACTGATACATTTTCAAGTAGATCGATTCATGTTAACCGACCCCAAATTCTTTAGGGATTAAGGCTTGAATGTTGTTGTTGTTGTTGTTGTTTATGTGCACTTCAAAAATGGGAAAGTGAGTACCATAGACTAGGCAGTTCTATTCTAACTCAACAATATAATTTGGGAAAACTATCAAATAAGCCCTCCTACTATACCGAAAAAGTCGATTAGGCCCTCGTACTTTACAAACACTCAATTAAGTCCTCGAACTATTAAAAAACGTCCATTTAAGCCCTTTTGGTCGGTAAGTAACCGGTTTCTCGGTTAAATGTAACCTGTTTCCCGGAAGCCGCTGTTGCTGGAGTTCGAGCACATCGTCGTCATCATCGTCGTTTAACCGGGAAATCGGTTACTTACCCACCAAAAGGGCCTAATTGAACGTTTTTTAATAGTTCGAGGACTTAATTGAGTGTTTGTAAAGTACGAGGGCCTAATCGACTTTTTCGGTATAGTAGGGGGGCTTATTTGATAGTTTTCATTTTTTAATTTGATCTCCATTCCCTATTTCCACCTTAAATTCGGGAATGTGAAGTCTGGGAATTCCCACTTCTTGTACCACCCTGGGGGATATAAAGTTGTGAGTAGACCCACAATCAATCAGTATGATTACTTCTTTGCTTCCTCAATGGCCCTGTATTTTTCCTCTTAGCTTGAAAGTCCTTGGAGTAGTCATTCCTTCTTTACTCATCAATGATAATTGCATACTGGGAAGATCATGTTTCTCAATCTTTGAAATAGGTTCCCGTTGATTTGCTTCTAAATCTTCATCCTCTTCAGAATTATCCAACATGATGATCTGAAAGTGTTTCATCCTGCATATGTGACCTTTTCCCCACTTTTCCCCGCATTTAAAGCAAAGGCCCTTCCCGCTCAACTCCCGCAGTTCAGACTGAGATAATCATTGTGTTCCTCTCATTCCCGCACCTTTGTTTACTACCTCATTGCTCTTGTCCAAGGTAGATTTCTCAGATCCATTCTGGTTAGTCAGGTTGTTCTTCCATTTGTTCTCATTCAACCATCTGTGAGACTGTGAAGGAACATTCCCCCTCTCCTTCAACCCTTTCTATCCTCTTCCTTGGATCTGCTTGAATTCAGAGTATTGTTTCTTTCTTCTACCATCAAGGCCTTATCCATTAATTCCGCCAAAGTTCTGACAGGATTCAATTTCAATTCAGCACGTATTTCAGCTTTCTGCCCTTTCATAAAAATTCCCTTGAGAATTTTAACATCAGTATGTTTCCAAGGAGCTACCATCAACTCAAATTGTTCCCTATATTCCATCACACTTCTTGTTTGTGCAATACTTAGTAAAGGACCGTATGGATCCTGTACCAGTCCAGGTTGAAATCTCAGAATCAAGGCATCCTTAAACTGTTCCCAGTTCCTCACATTCGAATGTTGTTCTCACCACTGGAACCAGTTTAGATCCTTACCTTCTATAGCTAGAGTAACCAAGTCAACTTTATCCTCTTCATCTATGCGGCTCATTTAAAAAAACGCTCAAGCTTAATGGTCCATCCATACGCATCAAGACCAATAAAAAGTGGCAAATCCACTTTTCTTCCTGATTTTTCAATCCATCTATTGTAATCATCATCGCGTCTAGAGGATAAGGATCAATGATTACCTTCGGATGATATGGAGTCACGACTGTCATTCCTTGCACTCTTTTTGGATGTTTTTGATCTTTCGCGTGAGTGACGATCATTTTGCTTCAGAATTAACTCACGTAACTCATCGCTATTGCGTTTAGCCTCTTCACGATTCCTCTCCAACTCGCGCTCCAGGTTCTCGCGACTTTGTACCAGCTCGCGCTCCACGTTTTCCAACCTCGCTTCCATCGTTCGTCTGGTAGCAACCATACACAGGTACCACAATCGTGCTCTGATACCAATGATAGGGATCTAATCTGTAACCGAGTGATTAAAGCAGCAAAAGTGATAAACTGGATGATGAACAGTATCAGGAAGGTCGTTATTAACAAACAAGAGAGAGAAAGTGTCTTGGCAGTTTGAAGAGAGCCACTCTCCAAGTCCCAGCCCAACAAAGCCAAAACTAGCCTACATCTTATTACAATAGCTACATATTTATAGTAATTCCCCCAGCCCTCTATTCAACACATAGCTATTTAATATTCCACTTTCTTCTTCTGGAATACAATTGTTTATAATAGTCAACATTATTATTAGTAATGGGCTGACTTCGTGTGTCTCTATCAGTTGTGAAGCAGATCTCATATATTATCATATTGAAATGGCCGTCCAAATAGAAGGTATACAAAGTACATATTCAAAACGGGTGAAAAGAATTGGACTCACAAATACTTCAACGCTGAAAGGGCATTCACATATTTTGGATCATTAAGCTCTGAAAGTTGTCCCGAAAGTGGTTGCATACTCAGAGTACTGATGAAAGTTGTAAACATAAACATAATCATAAACACTTGCTTCAAATAACAAAAAGCAGATAAAGTTCCCGAAATAGAAGTAAAAACATTTTGAAATTTTAAAATAACATTGTCATGTTTATAAATCATACGAGTAAATAAGAGTATGTTCAGTCATTTTTGAAAAACATTTGAAGAAAAATAAAGAGAAAGAAACCCGGAGGGCTTGAGGAAAAACAAACAAAAAGGTCCGTAGTGCTCTCAAGAGAGAAAAACAGTACCGTATTTGGTACCGGTATACCGTGCGCCCGTGTTGTGTGCGCATGATATACCGGCACCACGGTAATTTGCAATCATAATGGTATTGATATGTTCTAAACCCTATCCTTAAAAGGTACTCCCTCTGTCCCAAATTGTTTTGCAAAGTCAACATTTTCTTGCCAACCAATAAAAAAAAGTCAATGCTCCCAATCGGTAATTAATAGAAGTATAAGGACTGACAAGGGTTTGATCGAATCCATCAATGACCTTTTTCTGATCGGTACTCTTGGTCAAACCGCCTAATAGTGTAACTATAGCGCCAACTGTATTGCATAAAGACAGTTAATGGTCATTACCCCGTAGGTATTTCCTAAATATAAGTTACTTAAAATAGGATTAAAACCTGGATAACTTCCTGAAGTAAAACTAAGTACTCCTTTTGTCCTATTTTATTTGTTCTACTTTCATTTAGGGCCTTAGGGGTTATCCCAAAATAAGTGTCACATTCCAATTTTGGAAAAGAAATATGTGGTCTACAACATTTCACTTTATTATACTTAACTCTCAATCACAACTTTTATTTTTTGAATCACTTTATTAATAATTGTGTAAAGTCAAAGTATGACACATAAAATGGGACGAAGGTAGTATGTTTTCCCTAAAATAGAATTTATTTACTTCTACTAAAAGAAAAAAACAATAAAAGCTTTGTAAAATAAAACTAACTGGGGCATATACTCCTATTTGAGAAATTATGTTTCATTTTACCTTAATTGAAAATGAATATAAATTTGGTTTTTAGTCAAGTAGTTCTCGAATACGGCTACAAACACTATAATATTTGAATTTTTGAATATATTGGAGCTAAATGAATACGATACAAAATTTCACATTTACTTTTTGCGGATGATAACTTCATGTTTTTAAAGTCTCAGGGAAGGAAGGGGAGAGTGTGAAAGCCTTGCAGGAGGAATATGTGCAGATGTCTGGTCAGGTTATTAATTATTTTTTAAATCAAGCATACATTTTAGTCCTATTTTGGGAGTGGGGGTTGAAGATCAGATTAATAGGGTGTTTGGGATTACCGACCTCAACTTGGGACAAAAAGAAAGAAATATTGAGTTATATCAAGGAGAGAGTTGTTAATGTTAAGGAAAAGTCTTAGCTATTCTTTATATTTATTAATTCTTGTAATTATCCATACGTACAGCTGGTTGTAGTTATCTAATATGCAAAGTTATACTTGTAGAGTTAGATTAGAACTCTAACTGATGTACTATTTATTCCCTGTATTGTATCTCCCTCAATCACTGAATAATACATTCATATAAACCTTATATGGTATCATAGCTCTATAGATTTCTTTCTACATGATCCTACACCACTAATAAATTTCTTTCTCCATGGAGATCACTCCCACCACTTCCATTGTTCAGATCACAGCCCCAACGAACTTTCCTATCAAACTAACCGTAGCAAATTTTCAAGTCTGCGCCGTCAAGTTGAGGCTACATTGATTGGTTTTGATCTCCTCCCTTATGTAGACAGAACACTTGCGGTTCCTTCCTAGTTTTCTGATGAAGCCAAGCGTGTTCTCAACCCATGTTACTTCATTTGGTTCTGTCAAGATCACATCTTGATTAGCGCCCTTCTTGGTAGTTGTTCCGAAGCTGCTCAGCCGATCTCTCCTCCGCCACATCTGCCAAGGATGCTTGGGATACTCTTCTCATTTGTTATACAAATGCTTCTCCTAGCCGTATTCTGGCACCAAAACCAAATTTTCATGTAACCCTCGTGGCACCCGCTCTATTACTTCGTACTAATTATCTCCAGGATATGCAAGATATCGCTGGAGAGGTTGCGCTAGCCAAATCTCCTGTGTCGGACACTGATATGACAATTTCAATTCTGAATCAACTTGGTGAAGATTACCGCTCAATCATTAGTGCCCTTATGGCTCACAATACGCCTACTTCCATGTTGGAATTATCTCAGATCCTTATTGATCATGAACGCTTCTTAAAAGAAGCAGATGACACCAGCAACAACATTCTTCCCGCGGTCAATGTTACTCAACAATTTGCTTCCTCTATCGGTGATGCACGCCGTTTTACTGGTCCTTCCACCAATCATGGCAATCCACTTCGGCAAGGGTCTCGTGGTTCCAATTCTTCATCTGGTGGTGCCTCTCGGTCCTCCTCATCTAGCGGGCAATCACGTTCTACTCCTATTTGCAGATTCTGCAATTTTTCGAGCCAGATAGTTAAAGATTGCCGTAAACTTGCTCGCTTCTAACAAGACAATCACATCTCATCTATTTCAGCCTCTCTGGTTGTTCATCACACCAGCACACATAGTGATAATTCCTGAAGCTCCACCCAATGGCTGTTTGACTCGGGAGCTTCTCATCATACCACCTTTGAAGTGGACCCTTTGCATGAGTTTGCCGCTTATGACGGTCCTGATGAAATTCATCTAGGTAATGGTACATCCCTTCCTATTTCTCACATTGGTCAAACTATCACCCCCACTCCCACCCGCCAGGGCCGATCCTCTCTATTTTCGGGCCTAGGGGCGGGATAATTTCTTGAGCTTATATTCAAGACAAACAATAAACTAACTTATTTAAAATAATAAATATAATAAAGTTATTGTTATTATTTAAAATACATATTTGGTGAAAAGTAACTGTTAGGAATATTTTATGATGTCCAATCTAATAAAATATCTTTGTATTTGTGTAGTTATTAATTAAACGTGTAATACGGGCCACAAATGTGTATCAGCCCGTTTGCTTCTTTGTAACCCGTAAGTTAGCCTACTTCTCCTATAAAAGGAGGCTAACTTACGGGAACCCTAATTTTTTTGAGGCTTTGAGAGAATAGAGGCGAGATAGAGAGATAGGGTTTTCCGCTGCTCTCCTTCTCCAGGGAGAGCAGCGGATGTTTATCACGGTATACCAGATTTGGTTTTCATCTGCTATCTTTCTATTTGCTTCTTCTTCACTGCTTATGTTTGTTGTTTGTTAAGTACTGGGAGTATCAATTGGTATCAGAGTCGAGGCGTGAAAAAGGTTGAATCTATTTGCGTTTTTCGTATCTAACAAAGAACTGCTCTGCTTTTCTTCTCTTTTTCTCCAATATAAAGTTTTGCTCCTGTAATCTTGTTTGTGAACGAAAATTTGTAAAAATTATACTGTTGGAATCGCCTTTCAAAACCGATCCAGCAGCATATCCTCTTTTTCAATTTCTTCAAATTTTCATTTTTCATAGAACTCTACATGAATTGCGAGTTTATGCTTTTTCACTGCCCCAGAATCGTTTTTTGACTTGAAACTGATATAGGAGGAATCTCGACCTTCAGGGCTATTCAGAACAGTTTTCAAATTCTCAAAATTCGAAGTTTTCATTTTGCAGGAACTCTGCATCTTGGGTCTCAAATTTCTAAACTCGATAGGTTTAAAATCGAGAGTTTTTTTAAACTCGCGGTCATGACCTCGAGTTTTAAACCTCGAGTTCTGACCTCGAGTTTTAAACCTCGAGTTCTGACCTCGAGTTTTAAACCTCGAGTTCTGACCTCGAGTTTTAAACCTCGAGTTCTGACCTCGAGTTTTAAACCTCGAGTTTTAAAATTTGAGAGTTGGAATTTCGAGTTTTGGAATTTCAAGTTTTAGGAACTCGATGTTTAGGATTTCGACATTCTGAAAAATTTCAGAATTTTCGGAATTTCTCGATGTTTTGAATCTTTCAAAGTTTGCAGTTTCATGGAACTCATAATTCGAATCTTGACATCCTTCGCAGTTCATCGAAGCTTTACATTATAGGATTTCTGAATGATTCCCTGCTTATCAAAGTTTTTAGAAGTTTTCGATGTTCTGATCTTTTTCAAATAGCAAGTTTTCGATATTATGAGGTTTTCGAAACTCCAAAGTTTTCGATGTTCCAAACATTTTGAAATTCTGAAGATTTCGTTATTCTGAGATCTGTTTTGCAGGTGGATTTCGCCATTACTCTTCAAGGCAAACTCGAAATTAAAATCTCGAGATTAGGACTTTGAGTTTTTGCCTTAGAATTTTGTTTAATTTCACCTGCTCTCGAAATTCAACATCGAGAACCTCAACCTCGAAGAATTTCCTCAAAAACTCAAAATTAGAGATTTTCTGCGACACCGCACTGTTTTGGCTCGGTTATCCGTTTCTAGCAAACTTTTTTTTGTTTGAAAGCTAACAAAATGATATACATTAATTCTCGGGCGCTGCCCCAGAACCCTTTCTCACGCGCCCTCACTCGCAGCCCTTGAGGGTCAAAACGTTAGTTTTCCGACAAACTTTGTAAATCACCGATGTCCAGGTCAAAACTTAGGCAAATCTGATCAAATTCTTTCAAAGTCAAACCTAAGGTCTAAGCTCCAATGTAGAGGTCCGAAAATCGTAGATAATTCAATCAACCCCGTGTCAACGGTCATCTTACAATAATCAACAATCAACTGCTGAAGCCTCCCCTAACTCATCAACATTGTGTGATCCTCAAACAAGCTGAAATTCCAAATGATGAGCTTAGGGAAATCGTCATGTGTGGTACCTGTTCAGATTGCTCCACACACATGGCGGGTATGACGAACTGTGAGCAATCAAACCTTGCACATTATGAGGGGGAGTTTCAGTTTTCTCCTCCTGGCGCCTTACACCGACCAAGCAAGGAATCTCTCAACGGATGCAACATTCTAGGGGGAGTGTTCAATGTTATCCTCTCCGGTGCC